GCTAGTACACTCCTTCACAGACCCTATATATAAAGTGATACTAGGACATGTCTTCAATTGTTGTAAAATGGTGCAGCTTTATTAAAATCCGTGAAGTTGTGCTGAAGATCTGGCCCACTATGTGCAGGGGTGCTGTGAGAACCACAAGTTGGAATTTATTGGTTCAGTTAATGTCTTAACTTTGATGTGAAATAATTGTAGCTTTTGAAAGAACATTCCATATATTTTCCTAAACCGGTTCAGATTGGTTTCCCTTAGACGTGGGCAAGTCTGATAAAAGTGAAACAGCTATCTAAAGCACCACAACAAATTCTACTGTCCATGAAGTTGGAATTATGGAAAATGTCCTTCAGCTTTGGGGTGGAATGACATAAGTTGTGATGCCTTTTTATTCCTACCTCTTGTCTGAACAGAAATAAACAATTGTTCATGTTTTTAGTTGTCTCAATTGAGGGATTACTAACATAAAAATAAGAGAACTGCCATGTGAAAGATCTTAGAATCCTTTGGGTAATAGCTTTACTAATTAGTGACTGAGATAAACCATGCCACCAATATTTCAGTGCCCTTTAGCGCTCGCTGGCGTTTCATCAATTGATCATCTGATCCCATTCCTGCCCTTTGTGATGGGAGATGGAGTGCGGGTATTCCTTAGTTATGCCAAAAATGCAATTCTGAAAGAGATCCAAAGCGTCTCATATACCTGGTTGCACAACCCTTTGGGACAATGCGGATGTACAGGACTTTGAGCCCTGCATGTGAGCATGTGGAAAAGATGCTATACAGAGGTATGAAATAATGCAGAGTGGTGCTCAAACTGCTTAAAACTTCCCCAAAATGTTCATAGTGTAGATTGTCACGTGGACACCTCCCTCCTCATTAACGATCCTACATATCTGTGGCAACTTGAAAAATTGTTTACATAGAAAAATAATGCTGGGAAAAGACTTAGTAAGACAGAAAATATCACATAATGTCTCTCTATAAATCCACGGTATGCCCACATCTTGAATACTGCATGCAGATGTGGTCGCCCCATCTCAAAAAGATCTATTGGACTTGGAAAAGGTCAGAAAAGGGCAACAAAAATAATTAGGGGTGTGGAGCTGTCATGGAGTGTGGGGGAGTCAGGGCCCTGCACCCTCCTCTTCCTGTGATTCCCCATGACTCTCAGCCAGCCAGTAGAACGGAAGGTTTATTAGATGACAGGAACACAGTTCCAAACAGAGCTTGTAGGTACAAACAGGACCCCTCAGTCAGGTCCCTCTGGGGGGCAGGGAGCTTAGACCCCAGACTTGGGGCTCCCTCTGTTTCCCCAGACCGCTCTAAACTGAGACCCCCTCCAGCAGTCTCACCTAGCCTCCCCCTGGCTCCTCCTCCAGCCTTAGTCCAGTTTCCTGGGCAAAGGTGTCACCTGGCCCCAACCCCCTTCCTGGCTCAGGTATCATCCCTCAAGTGAAGTCACCCCCTGCTATCCCATCCCCAATGCAGACAGTCCCAGTAAAACTCCCCTGCGACATCCCCAGGTCAGTCCTCCCCACTCCCCGCTCTGTCACAGGAGCGGATGCCGTATGAGAAGAGATTAATAAGACTGGGACTTTTCAGCTTGGAAAAGAGGAGTGAGGGGGAGGGATATGATAGAGATCTATAAAATCATGACTAGTGTGGAGAAAGTAAATAAGGAAGTGTTATTTACTCCTTCCCATAACACAAGAAGTAGGGGCCACCAAATTAATAGGCAGCAAGTTTAAAACAAACAAAAGGAAGTATTTTTTCACACAATGCGCAGTCAAACTGTGGAACTCCTTGCCAGAGGATGTTGTGAAGGCCAAAACTATAACAGGATTCAAAAAAGAACTAGATAAATTCATGGAGGATAGGTCCATCAATGGCTATTAGCCAAGATGGGCAGGGATGGTCGTCTTAGCGACTGTTTGCCAGAAGCTGGGAATGTGCGACAGGGGATGGATCACTTGATGATAACCTATTGTGTTCATTCCCTCTGGGGCCCTTGGCATTGGCCACTGTTGGAAGACCGGATACTGGGCTAGAGGGACCCTTGGTCTGACCCAGGCTGGCCGTTCTTATCTAGTGTGTTTTTAGCTCTCTTTAATGTGTTAAGGGAGGCATTCTTTTCTAAGTGTTGATCACACTCTGTTTACTTTTGTTCTATATCTTCTTTCTTTACATTTGTTTGTTTGCTTCAGCACCATTTGGCCAGACAGCTCTCTCTGGACCCCTAGTTATCAGCCACAGTTTGAGAGCCTCTGGCCTAGAACAAAATAGCTTTAATGTTTTATATTTTTTTCCCGTGGAGGGATTTGGGCTTTTGGGGCAGTTGAGATCAAAGAAACATAATATGATGGATGATTTGAGTTGTATTGAAGACTATCATTCAGTGCAGTTTTCATAGCAAGAAGTTATGGCAAATGTATCTTTGTCAAAGAAAATGGATGAAATTCTGGTTTAATTGAAGTCAGTGGGAAAGCTCCCATTGACTTTAATGGGGCCAAGATATAATCCAGTGATTTCAGTCAATCTAATTTATCAAATCATAACTGTAATATTGCCAGTCCCAAGTGCTCAAAAATAATCAGGCTCCCCAAAATCATGGAACTTCAAAACATCATTTTGTGCTTTTTATTTACATGCCTACTTTTGAATTTTAGAGTACACTTGGATCACATATTCAAGCTCTTCTCTGCAATCATGAGGGCTAGAAACATACTGTTTTTTCAAATGAAAGTGGAGAGACTAACTTACTTGCACAATTCCAGGACCTACGATTCTAAGAAATTTTTTTCTGAGAATCGTGATAAAATTGTGAGTTGCAACACTATTTTGTGTGTGATTTATGTGTCAGGGTTCCTGTCAGCTGCTACATTGCTGTGAATCCTCTGTTCTTTCCTCAAGTTCCAGGTGCCTGTCTTGCAGGACTCCTTCCCTCTGAAGAATGAATGTTAATACTCTGCATGTACTGGCTAGTAGAGTGTACAAGCCATGAGGGTGATATTTTTCTTGATGCTTCTCCTCCCAGAGTACGTCACCACTCAGTTCTCTTATGGTTGCACCAGTGCTGCTGCTTGTGTGCCTTTGTACTAACTTGATTTCTGATAGCTTACGTTCTGATCTTTCATTGCTCTGGTTCAGTTTTATTCTGCACTTAGTCACGAGGTAGCCGTTGTTGGTGAATGGCTGGTATAGGTCATAAGCACCAGGAGTGCCATGTTAGCAACATTTGTTGTTTGACTCTGATGCTGTGTTCTCATGCCATGAAGCATAACCCAGAAGACACAAAATTCCAGTATCAGTTTACCTTTAGTGATGTCTCTTGCAGCTATATTGTATTTCATTTGTTCAGTTTCAATTTAATTTACATTTTGTGTATATGTATTAATTGACAAAATATCGAAACAGCTGATACAGGACTTGGTCAAGAATTAAAGGAGGGTAATATAATTAATGCCAATCAACATGGGTTTATGGAAAATAGATTTTGTCAAACTAACGTAATCTCTTCAGAGATCTATCTTGGTTGATAAAGGTAATAGTGTTGAGATAATAGACTTCTGTGAGGCATTTGACTTGGTTCTGTATGGCGTTTTGATTAAGAAACTAGAATGATACAAAATCAACATGGCACATGTTAAATGATTAAAAACGGGCTAACTGACAAGTCTCCAAATGTAACTGTAAACAGGGAATTTTCACTGAGCGGCTGTGTTTCTAGAGGGGTCCTGCAAAGATTGGTTCTTGGCACTCTGCTGTTAATCATTTTAATCAGTGACCTGCTAGAAAACATAATCATTAGTGACCAAGTTTGTAGATGACACAAAGATAGAGGAAAGTGGTTAATGAAGAAGACAGGTCACTGGCACAGAGTTATCTGGATCATTTAGGCACAAGCAAACAATATGTTTCAGTGCAGCCAAATGTGAAGTCATACATGTAGGAACTAAGAATGCAGGACATGCATATTGGCTGAGAGGGACTCTACCTTGCGAAGCAGTGACTCTCTGAAAGTACTTGGGGTTATGGGGATAATCAGCTGAACATAAGATGATGGTGCAAAGTTGCATGGAAAAGGGTAACATGATCATTGGATGTATAAACATGGGAATATTGAGTAGGTGTAAGAAGGTTATATGGCCTCTGTATTTGGCACTGGTTCAGATGCTACTGAAATATCTTTCCCAGAAGGATGTTGATAAATTGGCAAGGGTTCAGAGGGAAGCCACGAGAATGATTAAAGAACTGGAAAACCTGCTTTATAGTGATACTTGGGGAGTTCGATCTATTTAGGTTAACAAAGAAGTTTAAGGGCTGATTTGATCAGTCTGTAAGTATTTACATGGGGAACAGGGATTTGATGATAGAGGACTCTTCAGTCTACCAGACAAAGGCATACCAAGATTCCAGTAGGTGAAGCCAGACAAATTCAGACTGGAAATGAGGTGCAGATTTTTAACAGTGAGGATAATTAACCACTGGAATAATTTACCAAGGATTGTGGTGGATTCTCCATCACTGCATAATTTTAAATCAACGTTGCATGTTTTTCTAACAAAGATGCTCTAGTTCAAACAGGAATTCATTCAGTGAAATCCTGTGGTGTGTGTTATGCAGGAGGTCAGACTAGATGACCTCAGTGGTTCCTTCTGGCTTTTTTCAAGAATGACTTGAACAGTGCTATCTAGCCTTTTATTAGAGGCTGCTGTACAACTTGCTTCCTAGACTGTTACAGTTAGGGTTCAGGGCTGGGTTAGTAACCTAACGTCTGCTTTAGTTTGTGTTGTCATTGAGGCATAAGCCAAGCGAGAGGGTCCCAGGCCACAGAAATGGGAAAACAGCAAAGTAAAATTTCCAGTGGACTAGTTTGTACAAAGCCATGGACTAAAATTTGGGCTGGCCAGCCCTGATAAAGATCAGTCTCTGTGACACCCAAGTAGTTGATTATAACCTTCGCTTCCTTTTTAATTGTGTATTCATTTATTTTACAGATCAGCAGTTTGTGGAGATTAAGGACACACAAAGGGAACATCTGCTTTTAAGGTATGGAATCATCTCTCATTAAAGATATATTCCATATTTGAAATCCACAAAATTTTGAAGCAGAATCATTGGCGCATACATACTGAAACATCAGTTGGAAAATCGTAGCCATAATATGGTGTGTGGAGACTGCTTAGGCTCCCGCTGGAGTTTAGCCGCAAAGCTGGGCAGGCAGGTCCAGCTGCTTCAGCTGACTGGGGATGAAATAGGGAGTGTAGTCTGGTAGAATCTGTAAGTCCTAATGCTAGGCATTGTGTGTGGGACCCTCCCATGGAAGTCTCTGCAGAATGAATATGCGCTGAAAGCATTTTAACAACATGAAATCCTTCCCTCTTCCTTGGAAGATCTTCAGTTTTCCTTGTTTTGCTCAGGTTCTCAGACTTGAGGCTTCTTTATTGTTTCTGGCATTTGCATCTGCTCAGTTTTAGGTAGCAGAGTCTAAATGTGGTCCAAAGGATGTAATTTCTGGCAGGCTGGACCTCTTCCCTTTTCTTGTTTCTTCTATCAGTTTTTTCCTCCTTTACCGCAGCCTGTCTGGTCTCGTGTTGTGTCATCTGTTTGTTCTGGTGATGCAGAGTTTGAGTGATCCAATTGTACACGATTCTTTTGTGGGGAAGAGGTGAGTCTGACTTAGCTTGACAGCATGTTTGGATGAAGTAATTAACAAACCTTGAGTTTGTCACTACCCTAGGCTCAAATGCCACACTTGTTCTTGAATAACAGAAGGTGCTGTGTAGCCAAACTGCTTCATTGTGGTGCACTGGCTCACGTAGCCAAGGGATGATTAAGGAGGTAAGCATATCTGTTCCATAAGACCCTGTGTGCTTGCATATACTAGCAAATAATTAAGAATAAATAGAATTCTGTAACCATTGACTATTTGCGTTGAGAAGAGCCTAGGCTATAATGTAGGAGTATACATGTGACAATGGCTAATTAAATTGCTAAGTACCTTCATATTGTAAAATGTTACCCATTTTTTTTTTTTTCAAGCCTCTGCTGTTCCTCAGACTTAGAGGTGTTTGGCTAACGCAGTATGTTTCTTCCTGTCTCCACCCAAATTGTGATAGATACACCAAACAAATCCAGGAAACGTACAAAATTAGTATGAGACGTTGCCATCAAAGTCCATACTTACCTACTGTTAACACCCAATGATACCTGAGATACTTCAGTATATAGAATTAGAACAGGAAATAATTCTGTTAGGTACTAAATGGTAGATGTTGGATTTTTAATGGCAAACCACTGTACTTGGAATGACTAGTTAAAACTGCCCACCCCCTGGAAATTCAGTTATCTCAACTGCATCTTTAAATTGTCCCCACTTCTGTCAGTGTGGAATAAGCTTTATCTTGAATACCTCTTTCTTGGAGGATCTTAACCAGCTACTAGTGTAGAGGTTGGAAAGGTTTGTCTGATTTAATTCACAGTCAAACTTAGGCGTGGTCTGCCCCAGGGGGGCGTAGGAGGGGTCGACCTAAGATACCCAACTTCAGCTACGAGACTAGCGTAGCTGAAGTCGACATATCTTAGGTCAACTTACCTCGCATCCTCATGGCATGGGGTCAACTGCTGTCGTTCTCCTTTCGACTCCGCTTCCGCCTCTCGCCTCGGTGGAGTACAGGAGTCAACGGCAGAGCAATTGGGTATCGATTTATTGCGTCTACACTAGACACGATAAATTGATCCCTGATAGATTGATCACTACCTGCGGATCTGGCGGGTAGTGTAGACATACCCTAAGTAAAGCTTTCCAGCATCCACTCATAACCTGATTTATAAAAGCCAGCTTTAGTGATAGGTTTCAGAGTAGCAGCCGTGTTAGCCCCCAACTAAAACCATCACCTTCAGCCCCCAACTAAAACCTTCCCAACGCATCATCAAGGATCTACAACCTATCCTGAAGGACGACCCATCATTCTCTCAAATCTTGGGAGACAGGCCAGTCCTTGCTTACAGACAGCCCCGCAACCTGAAGCAAATACTCACCAGCAACCATACACCACACCACAGAACCACTAACCCAGGAACCTATCCTTGCAACAAAGCCCATTGCCAACTGTGTCCACATATCTATTCAGGGGACACCATCATAGGGCCTAATCACATCAGCCACACTATCAGAGGTTCGTTCACCTGCACATCTACCAATGTGGTATATGCCATCATGTGCCGGCAATGCCCCTCTGCCATGTACATTGGTCAAACTGGACAGTCTCTACGTAAAAGAATAAATGGACACAAATCAGATGTCAAGAATTATAACATTCATAAACCAGTCGGAGAACACTTCAATCTCTCTGGTCACTCGATCTCTGAGCTAAAAGTCGTAATATTACAACAAAAAGACTTCAACAACAGACTCCAACGAGAGACTGCTGAATTGGAATTAATTTGCAAACTGGATACAATTAACTTAGGCTTGAATAGAGACTGGGAGTGGCTAAGTCATTATGCAAGGTAACCTATTTCCCCTTGTATTTTCCTCCCCCCCCCACCCACCCAAGACGTTCTTGTTAAACCCTGGATTTGTGCTGGAAATGGCCCACCTTGATTATCATACACATTGTAAGGAGAGTGGTCACTTTAGATAAGCTATTACCAGCAGGAGAGTGGGGTGGGAGGAGGTATTTTTTCATGCTTTGTGTGTATATAAAAAGATCTTCTACACTTTCCACAGTATGCATCCGATGAAGTGAGCTGTAGCTCATGAAAGCTTGTGCTCAAATAAACTGGTTAGTCTCTAAGGTGCCACAAGTACTCCTTTTCTTTTTCCTTCAGAAGAGCAGCTGAGCTTGGGGCAGCAGGTAGGGTTGAGGGGTTTGGGGAGGAAGTGCCTTATTATGCAATTTTAATATTGGAGGCTGGTCAGTTTTGTCTTAGTACATCATTTCACATTGTCATTCCCAGTAAAAACAGGCTTTAAAGTAAGAGTCCAAGACATTATTTAGAGAGCTAATAAAATTTGAGAGGATGACAAGTTCAAACACATTCTCCCTACTTGCTCCTTTTATGGCTTTGCAAACATATAAAGCACACTGATCTTTTGGCCATCTTCTGTGCTTCCTCTAGGGGTGTGAAATATTGATGTTTCTCAGTGATATGGTGGTATGGCAGACATCTTAAGTAATAAAGAACACTTTTGATTAGAAATGGACTAGTTTATTTTCATTGCCCAACCTGGGAGGAAATCCAAGAAGTAAACAATTGGCACTAATGGTGAAAAGTAACCTGGATTTCTAAAACCTTCGTCTAATAGTCTAACTTGGTGGAAGTAACGTGGAAATTTATGCTTTTTTGGAAATGATTAAAAAGTTAACAGTGGACTAAGATTGCTTGCTTGTCTGGTACATGATACAGTACATATTTATTCAAAATACTGTGCCAAATAATCTGATAGAAGAGGGGTCGGCAACCTGCGGCACGCGTGCCAAAGGCAGCACGCAAGCCGATTTTTAATGGCACACTGCTGCCAGCCAGGGTCCTGGCCGCCTGCCCTGCTCAGCCTGCTGCCTGCCTGAGAGAATGGAACCCACGGCCGGCAGCGGGCTGAGCGGGGCCGGCGGCTGGGACCCCAGCTGGCAGGAGCCGGCGGAACCCCAGACTGGCAGTGGGTGAGCTGGTCTAGGGTTCTGTCCGGCACCTGGCTCAGCCCGCTGACGGTCTGGGGTTCTGGCCACCGTCCCCTTGCCAGCTGGAGTCCCGGCTATCTGCCCTGCTCAGCCTGCTGCCGGCCTGGGATACCAGCCGCTGGCGCTGCTCACCTCACTGCTGGTCTGGGGTTCCAGCCGCCCGGCCCCCTGCCAGCCGGGGTCCGGGCCTCTAGCCCTGCTCAGCCCTCCTGGGGTACTGGCAGCCAGCCCAGGACTCTGCTCCTTGCCTGGGCCCAGCGCTCTGCAGCCCTTTTCAAAAATTACACTACAATTAGCTTAAAAACTTGAAAACTTAAAAGCTTTGTATATTACAGTAATCGTTAAAAAATGCATAATGTTAATAAATACATAGGTTTGATGAAACAAAGTAGTTGTATTTATGTGACTGTGCTTAATTTGTGTTTTTGATGATTTACCTTCTAAAAAAAACTCGCATGTCTCGCACCCCCAGGGGGTGTGTGCACCCCAGGTTAAGAACCACTGCACTAAACTGATAAGATCTGCATTTTAATTTAATTGGAGCTTCTTAAACGTTTTAAAAACCTTGTTTACTTTACATACAATAGTTTAGTTATATAATATAGACTTAGAGAGAGAGACCTTCTAAAAACGTTAAAATGTATTACCGGTACGCAAAACCTTAAATTAGAGTGAATAAATGAAGACTGGGCACACAACTTCTGAAAGGTTGCCGACCCCAGTGATAGAATATGGGAAGGAATGGTTCATCTCCCTTCCTAAAGTAGGGTGGAAGTCCTTTATTTTAAGAAAAATGACTTAACCAATTAGCATTGTACTGGATAAAATAGTATGTCCAGTCCCTTATCCTTTTCCTTTCAGCTGGAAACTGCTTGTGTCTATGAGCACACAATACCTTGGCTGCCCATTGAGATTCAGTAATTCCCTAGCTATTGCAGTTTTAAGTTCCACAAGGAAGTGAATCATTCTCTCAAAATGCCCACCTGATAACACCGCAAAGGGATCCAAACCTACTTTTGCACCCCTTTCTCTTCAGAAACCTCAACCTTTGTTTTCCAAGTGGTGCCTCATGTTTGGTCCTAATTAAATTTATTTGTTGTCGAGAGAACGGAAATGTAAATACAATGGTGGTTGAAGTGCAGCAGTTACTCCCTTCCTCCTCTCCACTGACTTCCTGCCTGCATTTAGGAAGGTGGAAACTGATCATAGAATCATAAAATATCAGGGTTGGAAGGGACCTCAGGAGGTCATCTAGTCCAACCCCCTGCTCAAAGCAGGGCCAATCCCCAATTTTTGCCCCAGATCCCGAAATGGCCCCCTCAAGGATTGAACTCTCAACCCTGGGTTTAGCAGGCCAATGCTCAA